CTTCCTTCCTTCCTTCCTTCCTTCCTTCCTTCCTTCCTTCCTTCCTTTCCTTCCTTTCCTTCCTTCGCTCTTTGCCTTCCTCCCTCTCTCGTGCTTTCTCTCCTTCCTTCTCTTTTATCCCATCGTTTTATCCCTCCCTCCCTCTTTGAAATCCCACTCACGGACTTTTCCCCTTTTCTCCCCACAAGGCTTATCCTGCTCACCGTGTTTGTGCTCCTGATGTGTGGGATTGGAGCCAGCTGTGCCAAGTTCTGCTGCCGCACCAAGCACCCCCTGCGCCAAACCTTCCCGCCCCATGCACACGACCTCACCGTCATCCCCATGGAGCACGACAGCACCGCCCACAGCACCGTCACCTGTAAGTAAACCACGACGGGCTTCTCTTTTCTGGGCCTTCTCTAAAAATCCCGGAGTTTTAGGCGTGATAGAATAGAATGCAGAATAGAATAGAATGCAGAATAGAACAGAACAGAACAGAATAGAATAGAATTCTTTATTAGCCAAGTGTGATTGGACACACAAGGAATTTGTCTTGGTGCAAATGCTCTCAGTGTAAGTAGAATAGGAATAAGAATAGAATAGAATAGAATAGAATAGAATAGAATAGAATAGAATAGAATAGAATAGAATAGAATAGAATAGAATTCTTTATTGGCCAAGTGTGATTGGACACACAAAGAATTTGTCTTGGTGCAAATGCTCTCAGTGTACATAAAAGAAAAGGTACCATTCGCCAAGAGTCAAGACTCATCAGGTCCAACACTTAATAATAGTCATTGGGTACAATAAGCCATCAAATCGTATGAGGAAACAGTCCATATAAATCGTAAGGATGCAAGCGACAAAGTTACAGTCATGAGGGGAGGGGTGATAAGGAATGATGAGAAGGTTAATAGTAATAGTAGTGCAGACTTCGTAAATAGTTGGACAGTGTTGAGGGAATTAGTTGTTTAGCAGAGTGATGGCGTTGGGGGAAAAAATTGTCCCTGTGTCCAGTTGTTCTGGTGTGCAGGGCTCTATAGTGTCGTTTTGAGGGAAGGAGTTGAAACAGTTTATGTCCAGGATGTGAGGGGTCTGTAAATATTTTCACAGCCCTCTTTTTGACTCATGCAGTATACAGGTCCTCCATGGAAGGCAGGTTGGAAGTAATTGTTTTTTCTGCAGTCCTAAGAATCCTCTAAAGTCTGTGTCTGCCTTGTTGGGTTACAGAACCAAAGCAGACAATTATAGAAGTGCAGATGACAGACTCAATCTATAATAATAATAATTATTATTATTATTACTATTATTATTACTATTATTATTACTATTATTACAGGACAGCCTAATGTTCTGCTTCGTTGTTTTGACAGCCTACAGCTCTCTCCAGTACCCTCCCAATGTCTCCCTGCCTTTTGGAGACCCGGATAGGAATGCCACCTGCCCTCCAGCCTACAGCCTCTACGCCATAGAGATGCCCCCCTCTTACGACGAGGCCATCCGGATGTCCAAGCCTCACGCCGAGACTCTGTCCGTGGGCCAGAAACCAGAGAGAGGCGCCTGTGAACCAGCAGCCTCGCCCAAGTTGCCCGAATCACCCCAAAACTGCCCCAGGGAGGGGCAAGAGAACACGGGGGACGCCTCTACGTCTTCCCCCGAGCAGTCGTAGTGGGGTCTCTCTTCGATAGGGGAACGAGAGAATACGGACCTAAGTCACGGGCGGAGGAGGAAAATTTGTATCCTCTGGACTGGGATCTAGCATCTCCCGCCACTTCTGAGTACCGTTGGGACTTTTCGAGGTGATGGAAAGAAAATCCTTGCCTCCCGCGTCTGAATTTTCCAAGGTGAAAACTAACAAGCCTCATCTGCCTTGAGTGCATTGGATTAGCAGAAAATGGCATTTTTCACCCTTATAACCGTTGCAGCATTCGGCCGCTGGACTTAAAAGGGGTCTGCATCCTGCCGTCGGGGTGGGTGAAATGAAAAAAAAAAAAAAACGAGAGCCAGTACAGATTAATCTCTCTTTCTTCTGGGAAGACTGGATATTCTAGCAAATTGCTGAAAGATGGGATTCGTTGCTATGTAACGGCCAAGCTTGGACCCAGAGCCCTTTTTTAAAAAATAAAGTAAAATAAAATCCCTACTTCTGCTTTCGACAGACTGAGCAATGTTTTCACGATACCAAGGTTGGAAACTTTTGTCGGGTTTTGAATCCTAAATCCAGACCAGAATATCGTTTCTCGGTTCCTGTGGGCTCTGATTCCCTCGTCTCCTCCGAGGACGGGTTGCTGTGTCCAACTGGAATATGAACTTTGCGTTGGGAGATTTGGATTTATAGGACAGCGCCATCTTTTCGCCAAGAAGCCCTTGTTGTATTTTGAATCTAGCACGAAGCATTTTGTATTTTAGGTATTCGTCTTAAAAAATGTTTATGTTTATCTCCCCAGCTCCTTCTCTCTCTGTATCTGTTGTAAATAGAAGGTCAACTTATTGGGAGAATGCTTATATAAATATTCCCCTGAATAGTTTTCTTTTCATTGGCAGAAATTTGGGGGCGAATCTGAAATGGTCTCCAATATTCGTCACCTTTACGGAACATGTTTGTTTTGCTGTGTAGTTTTCTATTTCAGGGGTCTTCCAACTTCGCAGCTTTCAGACATGTGGATTTCAACTCCCAGAATTCCTCCTCCAGTCCATGTTAGCTCGGGGATTCTGGGAGTTGAAGTCTTAAAAGTTGCCAAGTTTGAAGACCCTTGTTCTATTTGAATTATTCCTTGCCCCTGGAGCACCCTTGTTTTGCAACAGAGGGAGTCCTCAACTTACGAGCACAATTGAGCCCAACATTTGCACGGCTAAGCGAGGCATCGGGTTAAACGAACTATGTCTGTTTTAGTAGTTACCATTAAAAAAAGGAGGGAGGGAGGAAGGAAGGAAGGAGATCTGGAAGAGCAGTGCAGCAGTTTGGAAGCGAAAGTACATTCCAACTCTTCTCTTTAAAAGAGTGTAACTAAAATACCAGAGTTTTTGCCCACGAATATGTTTAATTGGAGAACGTGATTGATGACACCCAGCCCGTGAAGGTGCTCAATTGGAGAATCTGATTTATGACACACCCAACCTGGGGGGAGGGGAAAACAGGGTCACAGGGGACTGTAAATGATGTAGGCCAGAGTCGGCTTCATACAGGGCAGTGCCAGTACGTCGCCTGTAATGAATCCTTTGAGGTTTTTTGAAGTTTGGCTCGAGAATCGTGATTTAATTAGGGCGATTGCTGGAATCCTGACGAAAGACTCTTGCTGCGGACCAGGGCTGTGACTTCACGTGTTGTTATTTGCCGTCCAGGTTCTGCCACGGTCTCTTACCCCCCTTCTTCTTGGTATCGCCGGAGAAAGAGAAAGCAAAGATAGGGGAGACGAAGCCAAAAAGTTTCGCGGAGGTCTTACTGAGTCAGTTTGAAGGATTCGCCCGTCATCATGGCCACAAATTCTAGGAAGGAAGGAAAAACAAAATCTAGAGCAAGAAGGTAGAAATGTCCTTTTTTAAAACCTGTGTCCTTCCTTTCTTGCCTTCCTCCCCACCCCCCCAAAAAAAACATGTTGACAGAATGCCACGAAGGCTGGCGCTTAGCAGTAATTTTTCCACCCAGGACTCAGCCCTTCTGTTAGGCTAAGAGAGAGTGGGCCTGGTTCTTCATCTGTACTCCTCCTCCCTTGTTCTGCCCAGTCAGACCCAGTCAACTGTCCGGCGCATGACACAATACTGTCATTAGATGGTCGCTTAAGGCCAGGGTTTCCCAGCCTTGGCCAGTTTAAGTGAACCTTGGACTTCAACTCCCAGAATTCCCCAGCCAGCCTGATATGACCAATTCCATTGTATACATGATGGACAACGACAATAAAGGTTTCGAATTTATTTATGTAAGCATCTTCCCACGTAGGTCTCCGATAAGTTGTCGTTTATCCCACCAAATCGGCCCATGGCTCTACATCCATGTTAAACCAACTCAAAAGTTAAAGGCAGTGTGAAATCAAACAGCAAAGAAGTCAAAATCCACCCCCCCACCCCCACCTAATTTGAAATCTCGGAATAAGCTTAAAGAGAGTAGGTGAAAATGTCAAGCCAATGTGTTTATGGCAAAATAAATAAATGTATTTTGCTGTGGTAGGTGAATCAGTTTCTATCCAGATGGCGCCTTCTGGTGGACAATTGGAGGCATGGCGGGCCTGTTTGCTTTGCTGCTTTCCCTATCATTTCCGAATTCCGTCTTTTTAGCCTCAGATTTAACCAGGCTGCGCGAGAACTCTGGCATTTGAACTCCAAGGCATCTCATGGGGGAAACTGTTCCTATCTTTGCATAAGATAAAAAAAACAGGCAGTTAATCAACTTGTTTATGGCAAACATCGGCAGAGGTGGTAACGGTTTCGTTTGTAACTCTTTGTTTTTAAAAGTAAAGTCTACCAGTCCAGCTAAGTGCGAAGATGGAAGATGGAACCAAGTTTAAAAGGAAGGAACAGGTGTGCAGCATTAACAGTTTCATCCGTATAACAAGCCAGCATCTAAATTCTTCCAGAGGAAGATATCCTGACAGGCAGCGTAGAGAAGTAAGAGCTTTTAATTTCAAACTACTGTAACTGGAAGATGGGGAGAGGGTGCCAAGTATTTCTTCACAGTATTGTCATAGGATTGCCATGAAAACTGCACACGTGTATCCCTATGATCTCCATCCTTTATTCACCTGTTCAATGTTCAGAAGTAGCACTTCCATTTTTCCCTCCCTATCTATCCTCTTTCCTTTCGGCGTCGAGACCTTTTAGACTGTTGACCTGCAGGCCAGGAATTGTCTTTATCTGTTCTGGGAGCCTTTGATAAATTAGTCTCGCTTTCCATAAATTAAAATCATTGCGCCGTCTTGATTTATGTAAAACTGACTCGAAAGTGTACGTTCTTCAAGGCAACCTTCTGGCTCATGTCATTGGACGACAGCATTGGTGGTATTCCATTTTTTTTACTACCGGTTCTGTGGGCATGGCTTGGTGGGCGTGGCAGGGGAAGGATACTGCAAAATCTCCATCCTCTTCCCCATGTCAACTCATAAAATACTTCTCTGGTCTTTCTAGAGTTGCCAGCAGAAAGGGAAGAGGGGAACAGTGCGGTAGCTTGCAAACCAAAACTGTATTCCATAAATGTTTTCAAAGATAGTAACTAGGAGACGGAAGTTTCTGCCTTGCAAAATTCTAACTGGACAGCATGATTGATGACTCTGGGCTATGGAGGTGTCCCATTGGAGAGTATGAATTACGATACACCCAGGCAGTGCTGGCATGTTAACTCCCAATAAATCCTTTTTAAGTTTTGGAAGTTTGGCTCGAGACTCATGATTTCAGAGGTGGGATTTGCCGGTTCTCCGAACTACTCAAAATTTCTGCTACCGGTTCTCTAGAACCGGTCAGAACCTGCTGAATACCACCTCTGGATCAGGATGGGTAGGGATTATGCTTCCAGTACCTTCGTAGTCGATGGTCCCATCCCCATCCTTGTCAGCTTCCTTCATCATGAGTTCAGCTTCGTGTTCGTTCAGCGGTTCTCCGGCGTTCATCAAGACGTATCTAAAAAGGCAGAGAACAGGAGAAGGCTTGAAGTCACCCCTTCTCTCCTCTCCTTGGGCCGCTGTGTCTGACTCCATCACTTTGGCTGCTTACTTGAGCGTGTCCCACTCAATGTAGCCCTTGTGTTCTTTGTCGAAGACTTTAAAGGCAGCTCGGAGTTCCTCGTCCTGATTTTTGGATTTCTCGTGGTAAATGCCCATCAATACCAGAAACCCATCGCAGTTGAAGGTGCCTTTTTCTGGGGGGAAAAAAAAGAGACAGAGGTCAATCAAATCTGCATAGACAGAGGGATAGAATCAAGATCGCACGAAGTGTTAATACCGCTTTATAAGGCCACACTTGGAATACTGCGTCCATTTTTGGTCGCCACGGTTTAAATAAAGATGTTGAGACGCTAGCAAGAATGCAGAGAAGAGCCACGAAGACGATTAGGGGATTGGAGGTTAAAACATACGAAGAACGGTTGCTGGAACTGGATGTGTCTAGTTTGACGAAAAGAAGTACTTGGGAGGGACATGATAGCAGTCTTCCAATATCTCAGGGGTTCCCACAAAGAAGAGGGGGTCAAGCTATTCCCCAAATCACCCCGATGATAAAACAAGAAGCAACGGATGGAAACTCATCAAGGAGAGAAGCAACCTAGAACGAAGGAGAAATTCCTGACAGAAAAATGAATCATGCCTCCAGAAGTTGTGAATGCTCCAACACTGGAAGTTTTTAATAAGAGATTGGATTTTATCTGAAGTGGTGTACAGTTTCCTGCCTAAGCAGGGGGTTGGACTAGAAGACCTCCAAGGTCCCTTCCAACTCTGTTATTCTATCCTAGACTTGTTCCCGATCAACTTCATTTTGGCTGCCATCTTTTTGCAGGCAGCGACGGGGCCTTCCCACAAAAGTTTGAGGACACAGAAGGAGACAGGAGGGTCACCAGCAACGTCCTGAGGTCCCTAGGTGGAATAGAGAGGAATACGATGCCTACTTTTAAAGGCTGTTGCAGCTGATCTCAGTTATGGCTCACCTCAGAAAGTAAGAGAGGTCAGGAGGATGGGAGACCACCGGGAAATTTTGACTGGTCAACTGGAAGCCAAAGAAAACGAAACCCTCAGAAAACCACAATAATAAACTTTGGGCTAAAGTCACCGGGAGTTGAGCTTTGCTCAAAGGAGGTTTTAAACATGAATATCACTAAAATATCCCGCATAACATTAGCAGAGCTCAGTTTGATCAATCTTTCCGGAGAACTTCAGCTCAATAACTGCTTGCAAGGATTGGGGCCTTATTGCAATGTGATTTCTTTTTTAAATTATTTTAATATTAAAATCCAAAGTTCCCATTTTCTTTTAAGTAAGCTGTCTATTTTTGTGTGTAACCTTTCAGCACCCGGGGACGTTTGCCATTTATTTTGCCTTCTGGGAAATTACGCTTTGGCTGATCTTCCTTAAAACATGGAAGAGACTCAATCTGCTTACAGTTTCCAGAAACTTCTGTGTTAGATGAAATTTGCATAAACCTCTTCAAAGAAGTCACAATTTGTCCTCAATGGGGAGTGGGGGTGGGTGGGTGGGAACCCCTTTTCCCCTTCCAAAAGAAACCGTTTGCATAATCATTCATTTACAGCCAGGCTGTTGTGCCGTGTCAAGCTTGTAAATACAACTCCGGTGATGATGAATGGAAAGAAATCAGCCAAAAAAACAAGCAATCCATTTCCTGAAACTAGGAAAGAAGGTCTTTCCTTGTGGGAAGGGGAAGGAAAGCACATCCGAAGGATATGCGCGGCTCAGGAAGATGGGTCTTTGCGTATGGAACTCCTGAAAAATCCTAGCAAAGAAGCTGCGACAGCCAGATTATCAGACAAGGATCAAGAGAACGGTGAAGGACACGGCATTCTGGAGGACACCAATGGTTCTTGCGGAACCTAAGGCAGCCCCCTCGGGACGGCCGCCCTCTTACTGTCTTTGTCGACGTCCTTGGCCATGTTGGCGAGGTCTCGCTTGGTGGGGTTGATGCCGATCAAACTCATCAGGCTTTCCAAGTCGTCCGTCTTCACCAAGCCGTTCCCTTCTTCGTCAAACATCTCAAAGATGCCTTTGTATTCGGTGATCTGCTCCGGGGTTAGAGTTCCTGCCTGTGGTGGGAAGAAAGACAGCGTGAACGTTAGACAAAAGGAAGAGTAGGCTTTGGGTTGGCTGAGATGCTGCTTCTCCTAGGGGGCCAATTGTGGCACTGAAGATTTAAAGAAGGAACAGCCAGGTCTTCACAGCCTTCCAGAAGGCTAAAAAAATTAAGGGTCCCTCTGATCTCCAGTGGCGATCGAAACGAATGGAGCAGCCACAAAGGAGGTCTCATCAGTGGGCAACACTTAACAGAGAGGATCTGGAACATATCCTGTCAGGGTTCCGACGGATGCCCTAATTAATTCATGAGCCTCGAGCCAAGTTTCAAAAGAAATCCAATTATTTATTAGGAGCAACATGTCGGCACTTTTCCCAAGTGCAGTCAGCTCTGCCTCACGGAATTGACTGCCCACCTATGACCCTGTTTCCCCCCTCCTCCCAGGGTGTGTCATAAATCACATTCTCCAACCGAAGCACATCGGTGGAACCCTGACACACCCATCCTATCAAACTTAGTAGGATGGGCAGATGCCCTACAGAAGAGGTGGCCCCACGAGAAACCCAACCCTATGCCCTGTAGGGCTTTCAAAGTGGTAACCAGCACCTTGAATCACACCTGGACAGCGACTAGAAGCCAGTGCAATTCACGCACCAATGATGTTACTCAGGTGAACTTGTTGCCAATGCATTCTGAACCAACCACAGTCCCTGGATGGTCTACAAGGGCAGCTCCACCTAGAGCACATTGCAGTAATCCAAATGGGAAGTGATTAAGGCATGGGGGACTCTTGCGATCACTGATCTACTTAAAAAAAAAACATTCACAAGGTGACCTGAAATATAATAATTCCCAGCCGTGGCTGGAAATATTTCCTTTGGGGAAGTAAAACAGATATCAAAAGTCAGAGAAGGAAATCATGCAAAACAGGTGCGATTGCATTCTGCAAAAAAAAAAAAAAATGTAGGAGATTAAGCGTCCTTGATGTCTCGTAACGTGAATGTGACCGTTCCCTTCGCCTATACACACCGATAGACTTTATTTTGGCAAATAGTAGAAAATGAATCATTTTCGATGGTCAGACGTAGCCTTTCCAGCCCTACTGCCAGTTCCACTCACTTGAGGAAAGTCGGTTTCTAGGATTATGAGAAAAATAAAAAATAAAATTCCCTTCTCGGCTTATTTTACTGACTCCGAAAGACGCCTGCCGAAGCATTGCCAATTCCCTGCATTTTTAAATCAAAATCAACAGTGCGTGCTTCACACAACGCGCACCAAAATGCCCCTTACTAAAATGCAGGGAAAATACATTTTGAAATTTAGGAGCAGCAAAATAATCACTTTATGCCCCTTTCCAAAACTATTGTGATTTTTCTCTTTTAGAATTGAAATGCACACGTCTAGCCTTTTTATTCATGCCGGTATTCACCAATTTTCCAAACGACTGCAATTTTTTAAAATCCATTTTTTTTCTTTTTATCCCTTCTTTCCTGCACCTTTTCTCTTCCTCGTCATCTTTTCCTTTCTCGAGGTGTCAAATCAAACATTTACTATGGTTACAGAGTCATAATAAACATCTGCAATAGTTAAGCCAACTCAAACAAGTTTTCAGACTCCGGAACCGGAGGAATTTCAATACAGAGGCACAGAACGATACAACCTGTTCGTTCAGGATAAGCAACACTTATTAACCAGGACATTCTTCTGCAAAAGATGAATAAAAAACTACTTGGAATTCTCTTAGAGAGATCCCCACGAAAGAGGATGCTATGGCAAAAGAGCTCCACTCAGCCATCCAGCCAAGGATAGACGCTTGGATGAAGGGAAATATTTTTTTGCAGAGGTTTCCCTTCCAGCTGTTTTAGAATGTTGTAGTTAGGGGTAAAATCTCATTTTAAAAAAAAAAAATCTGCCAATTGATTGGAAACTAAAGACCCACAAACTGCAGAGCAGCTGGAAGTTCCTGTCCGGAGAGAAAGTTTTTTTTAACATTTATACGTGGTTAGAAACTTACCATTTTCTTGGTATTTTCCACCCTGGATGGCACCCTTTAGCTAACTGGTGGTGGGATAGGACATGCGGGCAGAAATGGTGGGGAAGCTATTCATTTGTACGGTTAAGGAGAGAGTGCAGGAGTCTTTAATCCCAGGGGAGGAAGGATATTGGTAGCCTTTTATGGGAATGAAAGGTGGAGGATCCTATTTATGGGGCAAGAATTTGTCTTAATGCCACTGCTAAGCCTTGAAGAAGGTCTTGCATTGAAATGGTGCATCTGCTTTGCTTGGGGCGGAAAACTGGAGCTCTCTGGGCAGATGGCAAAACGACTTCCTTCCTTCCTTCCTTCCTTCCTTCCTTCCTTCCTTCCTTCCTT